ACTTCTTCTGCCTAGAAAATTCCATTCGTCGTTTAGATTGTGGTTTGCACAGGATTACATCTCTCATAAAGGCTCGTCTCACCGTGGCTGGCATTAGTAACTCTTTTTTCAGTTTTTCCACAGCAATGTATGTGTATTTTTCCTGGTATTAGAATGCATTTGCTCAAACGTGCATTTCTTCTGTTGGTTGATCAACTCCTCAAAGCTGGGAAACGTATCTTCTGTGTCTCTTTCATACCAGCTGCTTGCACATGACTTCCTACATATTTGTTGCTCATTAAATGATGAACGTGAAGCAGAGAAATTGGTCAAGGTTAGAATGCAGGGGAGTTTGGTGGGTCGGTGGGGAGAAGTGATCAGTAGGACAGACTTGAACTTGCTTTAGAATATGGCCAACTGGGATAGACACTCTGTGTGTGAGGAATAGGTGCGGGGAATACTAATGAGGGAGCAGTGGATTCTGGGTAATGTGAGGGGCTCATATTTAAAGACAGGATCTCGTGACACAAAGTCATGCATGCATACAATTTAGCCTTACTCACAGGCAGACAGGCCAAATTGTAAAGTCCTTCATCAGCAGGAAATTATTATTCTGCCCATTTAGGAAGATACATGGTCTTTTTGTGTAACCAAGACTCCCACATAGTTAGCTCTTGTGGCTGCTAGGTCTATTGTCTGATGCCATAAAGAGATGGGACCTTGACTGATAGTATGGTGATGACCCATTGCTATGCCCATTTATTTAATTGTAAAAAAGATGGGCAGGGGGATATTCTGATTAATGGGATTTCTTTGACCCTTAATTATTCTTTTCATATGTTACTCTTACATCAACCTGTATTTATTTTCAGCAACACAAAGGAAACATGAAAAAAAATTATCTTTTAATAATGTGAATCCCAGAATAATAAAATTCATGGCCTTCCTTCTGGATGCTCTTACACAAATACTTATCTGTTATGTTTATAACTATTATTATGTATATACTGTATGCATTCTTTATATATTTTTTCTACGTATCTATGTAACTATCCATTGGTCCATGCTTAGCCCAATCTTCACTAGCAAAAGGACTGCTGGTTGTGGGTTAGAGATAGAAAGAAACAGAGATGACACATACCCTATTTCTACTTTCAATCAGCTGTTTTCCATGAGGACAGATACTTCCCTGTTGAGTGCCAGATGCCTGGAAGATATATGTACAAAAGACACGTGTATGAATACAACACCAGGCAAATCTAATGTAACCATTTGATTCCTCTTTGAGGTCTGGCTGCTGACCCCTTTGTTGCGTCCCCATTCACGGTAAGTTGGTACCATTGAGAGAGACCAGGATGCCTGTTGCTTGGGCTTGAGGCTGGCCTCAGAAGGCTGAGGGATGCCTCCTCTATGGCCTCATTTGGGCTTTCCTGTGGTTTCCCCAGGTCAAGGAGTCTCTCTGAGGCGGGGGGCAGCCACTGTGTCTATCAAGTGACTTCCCCCTCATGGAGTCTTAGAAGAGCTCAATTCCATCACAGATATCAAAAAGCAAGCCCCCAAGGACAGACTCTATCATATAGAGCCTTCACCTGCTTCCTCTGTACCACCTCCTCCATTCTGTACCATCATGACTGAACACTGTCCTTGGCTCGGCCCAACTCCAACCAGCGGGAAGGAGAAGAGCTTTGACCTAACTCAGTCGGTTGGATATATAGCCAACTTTAGTTTAGAGGCCAAAGTGATGGCAACATTCTTGCCCAATGTGATAATTTCATTGGATACCTATTGTTCCCCATCTCACAAACTCCCCTTCTTAAGCCAGCTCAGAAACCAGCTATGGTCAGGTATAATTGAAGCACCTGACCTTAGCTTCACCGGGTACCCCTGAAGTATAAGGGCCTATTTAGCCAGAGCAGCTCCATCCTGACCCTGTCCCCCGCTCCCGCCCCCCTTCAGGGAACTTACTTAAAAACAAGTCCCGGAAACCAGTCCCAGGTAACAAAGCCCAAATACAAGGGTGGGTCAGGTCAAGTGGAGATAACAGCCCGAATGCAGGGATGAGTCGGGTCAGGTGGAGACATCCAATCAGTAAAGCGTGCATACTGTCTCCCTAGCTACCAAGGAGTGTGGGTCCTGCCTTTTAGGCGCCAATTCTAACCAAGGTGATAGGCTAGTTCCAATATCTACTAGGGTAAATTGTAATTCAATTGGTCACTTATGTGTGACCTAGCATGACTGTGCAGATTTCTCTGTGTGTTACAATCTCATTCGCCACCTGTGTGTGGCCAGGCCCAACCACATGGCCTTTGCTCTATAAAAGTTAGTCTGTAAGGCAGGGAGGGGTCGCCCTCTCTGTAAGAGGCACGGCCCTGGCCAGTCGGTTTGATTCTCGATGCTTGGCACGAAATAAAGCTTTGCTTGACCTTCACTTTGTATCAGTCTCGCTCCTTTGACCATGGACCCAACAGAAGTTCTGAACCATTGGCTTCTTTGTCACCTTTGTGACAAAGGTGACATGGGAACCTACTCAGCCATTCTAAGTCATGGGAACCTACTCAGCCATTCTAAATCATGGCCAAACCTGGAAGTGCAAGGCAGTTAACACTCTGGGGCTACTCTAACCCCTTCTTTCTTCTGTCTCTTGGGCTGTCAATTCTGAGATACATTTACACAGCTTCTCATGAGAGTTTCTGGAGGGATTGCATCCCACTGGTGCACAGCAATGACCAGCTGGCCAAGACACCTGGCATTGGCTTTCCCTTCGTACTTGCTTCACCCTTTCTAGTGCCCCATTTACTTCCTGGAATTGCTCCCCAAAATGATCTCAAAGTTCTCCTTTTTAGGGGGACCTAGAAAATAGATTGGTTGGGGGAGACTACCAATGTTGATCAAACCCATTGCATGGAAAATATTGTAACAGACATTCTGTTTGAAGTGGGACATAAGAGGACAGGGGCTTGTTGGTCCCTTGGTCTATGGACCACTAATTAGGAATTTCACTTAAAATTAAAATAGAAGCACTGAAGCCAAGTGATGGCATCCCCTATCTAGAAATCTTTAAGATCAGAAACACACTGATCATTCTGGGATGGTTGGGGTGGAGCCCTACATTCAGGCCAGAGGATGGCTAGATAAATTTCCCTGGTCCTAGATCAGTGTTTGCTCTTGCCTTTAAATGTCTGTTGATGGGGACAGGTCAGATTTTTCCCTCTGTCTTTATAAACACATGGAGCCTTTCTACCCAATGGAAGTCCCTGGGAGCTTTCATAATGTGTTTAGAGTTTGGGGCTTAGAGTTTCTTGGTTTTTGTTGTTTGTTTTTGTTTTTAGAGAGAGAGAGAGAGAGAGAGAGGCATAGGGAGAGGAGGAGTGAGAGAATCTCAAGCAGGCTTCATGCCTAGAATGGAGCCCAGTGTGGGCTCCATCACACAACCCTGAGATCATGACCTGAGCTAAGATCAAGAGTTGGATACTTCACCCACTGAGCCACCCAGGCACGCAACGGGCTGAGAGTCTTTTTAAACAAGTGGGAGAGTAAGCATTCTTAGTATATTCTTCCATTGCATTAAAACTAAAATATCTTTCTACTTGCCACAAATGACTGTTTGCTGTTTTACAGAAAACATTTGAAATATGGTGCCAGAGAGCTCAGCCGTCAGTCTTGCTGGTTGCGGGGAGGAGGCGGGAAGCTGCCAGTGGGCAGGAGGAGGAGGCGACGTTAGAGGAATGCAGGCCAACCCTTTCCCTCCCCATCTGGTTACCTCTAACTCATCTAACCAGATCAAGTACCCACAGTTTGGTAAAATATTTTGAAGCCACCCTCCAGATGACTGCAGGCGATCCAAGCATGATGGCTTAGTGTTTAATCAGAAAAGAAACATTTTAGACCTCCCAAACTCTGAAGTGGGCAGAAAAAATATATTTAGAACAAAAAAAATCCCCCCCCCCCCCCCCCCCCCCCCGCATTGAGTCTGTTGTGGTTTGAAAACGTTGAGATGTCGTTTTGGCTATAACTGCCTTGCAAGGATTCTGCTTTGTGACCGCCTTTGTTTCTAGGGGCTGATTTTTGCTTTCTCAGAATAACAGAATCATCGTTCGTTATATGTTATCTGTTGGCAGGCGGAAGGGGTCATTTAGTTGAACCTATGGCTTTTGAAGCAGGACTCAAACTCAGGTGATCTGATTCCAGGGCAATGGAGCTCAGGGCTGGGAGAGACTATCTGTAATACAGATCATCTTGAACTAACTAGGGTAGAAAACCACTGTTAGGGAACGGCACAGGGGAAAGGAAGTCTGAAGTGTGAGTTGAGGTGGACTCTGCCCTGGGTCGATAATTCTATTGAAAACTAAGAACTAATTAACAAGTACTTATCCTAACTCTTTTTTTTTTTTTTTTAAGATTTTATTTATTTCTTTGGCAGAGACAGATCACAAGTAGGCAGAGAGGCAGGCAGAGAGAGGAGGAAGCAGGCTCCCGGCCGAACAGAGAGCCAGATGCGGGGGCTTGATCCCAGGACCCTGAGATCATGACCTGAGCGGAAGGCAGAGGCTTTAACCCACTGAGCCACCCAGGTGCCCCTATCCTAACTCTTATCAAAACAGAATTTCAAAGGAATACAGCAGTTGACTTTCTTTTTCCCCTTTGCAGCAGCGACCACGGTGAGCACCATTTGCATTTCCTGTTTTATAGACCCAGCTATCAAGAATTACGAATAGAAGCCCTGCTACCTCATAAACTGATAACTTGAGGCCCTTCTGACCCCAGACAGGGGAAGAATGGGCCCCTCAGGCCCCACAGTCACCACACTTTACCCCAGGGTCTGCTTTATGGATACCTGCTTTGTTAGTTAATAGTAGTTATTTGCACAATAAACCTCGTTTTGTGTAGGACTTTTCTGTGTTGAGACAGTGGTATAAGTAAGAATGTTGGCTGGGATCTCTGGAATATTTGTGGTTGATGGCCCTTTAGAACGGAGTCCAAATCCCCAAGGGCATTCTTTTATCCTGTGATTTCGCTTACAGGTTCTAAGGCACCCCTGGGAAGGATTCCAGTCTTCTGCAAGCACGATGTGGTCACCCAGCTGCTATCCCCTTTCTTCTCTCCCACCCCCGTTGTATAACTAAGCTCCTTTTGGGTCTCCTCCCTCCCTGAAGACTGACAGCCCTGGGGAGCCTTGAGTTCTGTTTCAGCAGCTAATGAGATATGCCTTCTTCAAATCACTTACAAGCCCCACATCACCTTCGGCAGGCAGGGGTTCTAATATGGGGCTTCTGTGGGTGAGGAGGTGCCTATGCTCACCAAACCCTGATATTTCTCCCCGTACCCCCTGTCTGTGACCAGGACTGGGCCTCTGTTAAATGCTCAGGGAGCTTTTAGTAGCCAAGAAAATGAGCCAGTCAGCCGTAGACACACTATAGAAAAAATGGCCTTGAGTCTTAACTTCAAGTATCTTAATCTAACACGACGGTAGGAAAAAGTTTGATTTCAGGTTAAATTCAAGTTGGGGCCACATGACGGGCTTGGAGCCTCCCCCGTGCACCTGCTGCAATGTAGGTAAGCAGAGAGGTTAGCGGCCACAGTCTGGTCCATCATGGATGGATCCCACCCCAAGTCATTCCTCAGTCACCGGAAGCCCATTAGTGGGAGACCGTTATGAAACTGACGATTTCATTTTCTTTGTATTTCTGGCTTTTCTCAATTACAGGGTGATTGAGATGTGACGTAGGTGTGGGGTCAAAGAAAAAGCAGTATGTATGCAAAATGAAAAGACACTCCAGCCTGTAGTGCTAGCAGAAGGCAAGGAAATCTGATTTATTTTAGAATTTTCAGTAAATATCAGCCACCCCCAAACAAAACTGGTATTGAGTCAACTTGATCCAATCACCTAAAAATAGCTATTGGATGAAAACGTGAAGGGGAAAATAGTGTCTGATTAGTGACTGGTCGTTTTCAAAGTGACTTTTCCCACATCATGTCATTTTATGAAAAGTAAATTTGATCTTTTTCAGTGTTAGAGTGAAGCAGTTCATAATTTCTTACAAGGAGCAAAGGACATTATATTTATAAGCATGGAAGCTGTGAACTAGATAGAACATTCTCTTTTGCTGCTTTATATTTTTTATCAACCATCACAGATTCATAGGGAAGATCTCTAAGGAACCAAACTTTAAAATGGATTTTAAAAAACTTAGTGTGCTTGTCATCTTTTGTTTTGGCCTCAGTTTCTTTCTCTGGTACCTTCCTTTGAATGGCAAATCATTACTTGCATTTGGATAGATTATTATTTAGCTTGCAAAATAGACCATTTTCCCCCGCATTAAAATCTCATAGTTGCCGAGCTTCATTAGGATAAGTGGAATTATTCATCTGTTTCCCCCCCTGCCCTTTGGCTGTGGGGTCAGTAAAATGATGTTAAGCAGGGGAGGGGAAGGCTGGTGAACACTCCTACATGTCACTAAGTAATTTCAGGAAGAAGCTGGTCTACAACTGTACTGAATGATGGACACGTTCTCAGCCTTAACGGCTATTAATGACTTACATAATGACAGTTTGCATTATAACCGTGGCTGTTCAAAACTTGCATTTTGCAATGGCTATAACTAGTAGTGGACATTTCCTAAAAATAAGCAGAGAAGTTAAAATGGGAACAAAGCAAGGCAAATAAAACCCTGAGACTTAACAAGTAGTCAAGGATGGCAACCAAGGGCGGGCGGGGGTGGGGCGAGGAAAAAAAGAAACAAAAGAGTATAGCCAACCTTTTTTTTTGTTTTAATTAGAGTATATTATACTTCCAAACTGGATACACTAGAAATTGGCAATGCAACATAAGATGCAAAGAAATATACCAGTTACTGTCAAAATGACCCTGTACAGCCTTGTAATGCAAAAAGCTTTATACAATACAAATTTTCAGTAATGTACACAAACCTTGACAGTATGATCATCTGAACATAATATGAGGAGTTAAAAAAAGGATAGAAGCAAGAAAGTGCTGAGAACTCTAACTGCAGTACTATATGGACAGATAAGCTAGCTTCCATTGAAGAATGCATAGTGAAAACAGAATTGAAGTTAGTTGGCAGGTGAATTTCTCAAAGATGTTAGTGTTTTACACGGAAAGGATATCTATGGAATAATCCTTCCCTGAGTATCGAACTGCAAACCAAATTCGGGGGTATATATTATCTCGGTGGAGTCTGAAAAAATGCTGTAGATTTTTTCTTTATTAATAACAATAATAATAATATAAAAAGTCAAACAAACTCCAAACACACCGTTTCTCACTCAGAAAACTTTTATAATTTACCAGAAAGATTGATGACTCTTTCCAAAGTGCTAAAAAAGTTGCCCAATTACATTAAGCATAACTAAGTCATTCAAATACAAGTTCAGTGGCAAGCAGTGAAATGCATGGCATTTGAGCAGTAAACATCTCCTTCCGACACCCCTCTTGCTCTTGCAAGTTTCAGCCGAGGACCTCCTATTGCACACGTGGCATGCTGTAAAACCTGCAGTCCTAACTGTCAGGGCCACCCTTTCAGGTTTTTAACCTGCTGGTGCTTCCGTGCGATTCGCCTGTTGTGCCAGCCTCCGTGGGATCCCCGTGGCCCTCTTCTGTCATCACTGAACTTGTAATTTTGAAAGCACATTATCAGCCAAGTGGCACATTCTCCATTATATGGGGATAAAGACAGGACTTTTAAAAAAACCAACCCACCCATATGCCCAGTATTCTTGGAGTGTATTGTCCATAACTGTCTATAGTGTCTTTTACCGAGACATTGACATGGCGAGGTTGAACGACGCTTCTAACATAGCCAAGAGCAAATGTCTCTGCCGGAGGATGACCGAGGGTTCGGGAGCTTCCTGCCCTAGCTGGCTCAGCCTCCCTGCCCCTGGGGACATCTCCTTAGTGTAAACAGGTTTGCCAGGGCTGGAGGACTGGCAAAGGGAAATGTAGCACACCTGCTAGGTCTGGGGGAAGAAGGGTGGGTATGGGGGTGGGGGAGTTCATGGTATGGACCGACAGTACAGTCTTCTGGCTTCCTGTAGAACTGTACCAAGTTCGAGGGGGCTTTCAGTGAAGCAAACTGACTAGAGGAAGAAAATTAGGGATGCTTTTATTTTCCCCTGGTGAAACAGATGAAAAGAAAAATCCCAACTCTAGGATAACACATGATGGAAAACAGCAACGCAGTAAGAAAGCATTCCTCTTGTACACCAGTTCTTCAATAGATAAATAATATATAAACTTTTATATTCCAAACTTTCCATTCTTAGAGCACATTTCTTCCTGCCCTTTCAGCCTGTTTCATGCTGGAAATTGTGTTTTCTTACAAATACAAGCAATTAAGATATTCGGCCCAAGATTTCTTTTCCTTTTCTTTTGAAATCACCCATTACATTTTTAAGATTCGCAAAGGGCTAGGCAACCAAATCCACATCTGCTTCTTGCTGCAATAAAGTGCTGCACGTAAGTTGCCATTTTAATGACCACAAAATAAAAGCTTTAAATAAGTATAAAGTTAGCCTCCTAGCAGGTTATAGCTACCAGGCGTTAACAACGTGGAATACAGAATTATTAATAACATGGAGAATACCGCTATAGCCAGACGATCTGCAAACACAAGGGAAACTTCTCAGGGGCATGAGTTGAACCGTAGGACTAAACAGCACCTTTTTGTTGGGTCGTTATATGTTAAAGAGGTTGTGACAAAATTTTCCAAACATACAGTCTACTCATTCCATAGAAAAGGTACATTTTTCTTCCTTTTATTTTACTTTATTTTTTTTTGCAGATGAGAAACAAAAACTAGTGCAAGACCAAAGCACTGTGCAAAACTGCTGTTTTTTTTTTTTTTTTTTTTTTTTTTTTTTTAGTCTGAGCATTTATACCCAGAATTTATCCAAACCCCTTTAATCTCCTTGGCTGGATTTATCAACCATAAAATTTTTCACTCATACAATTCTTTTCCTGCAAATGAATGGTAACCACTGAATTAATACATCATATATATATATATATACATATATATATAAAGTCATATATATATATATATATATAATCTGCCCTTAAAAAATGATGCACTGTGTGTGTGCACCATACACATTGTATACGTATGGAGACACACACACACACACACACACACACACACAAAACACACTTAAGTTTTGTGATATTGGCTGCAGTGCTGCGAGATATTTCTTCTGGAGTGGACTCTCAGTTCTCACATCTTCATAACCGAAAAGATCTGAGCACGAGGTCTCTGGCACCCGGTCGGAAATCTCCAGCAGCACTGTGGGTGTCTACCAGTCCTTCATCGACTCAAGCACCAGGCCCTACCACTCTGCAGCCATAAAATAGAGAGGGAAAGTTGATGAAGGAGCTCAGGGAGAGACTGTACGGATGAACAACCCAGGAGGGAAAAGAACGTTCATCGCTGTTAAAGAAGCCAGTATGAAGAAATGGGCGACAGAAATGGCATGGCACACGACACGCGGCTTTCTCTTTCGGACTCCACAACACCCACACACCCCATTCACCCAACAGAAAAACCAAATGCACCAGTGCATAAGCGTACAAGTGCTGATTGCTATTAAGGACACTCTCTTTAGGGCTTAACAAGACAAAATTCCTCTCAGAGCAAAGTACGGAGAAGGGCCGAGAGTGGGAGTGGGGAGCTGGGGAGGCATGCCTCTGAAGGTAGACGTATGCAGTAGGTCACCTCTCTGAAGATTGGATAAAGCAGCTTTCAGGTCAATGCAATAGGGTGTCCACACAGAGCCAATCCTCTATTCCTTACTAAAGATATACAGTACACGTGGTTCAGACCCAGGGGCCTGTAGGTTTTGCAGCAACATACACCTGCTGGGGTTGTGTTTAAGTTTTGTGGGTTTTTGTTTTTTGTTTTATCTTTGTCTCTTTGTTTTTGGTACAGAACACGGCTGCCCTCAGACAGTCTCTGCTCGTTCTCGCAGTCCAAGATAGGCAAGGAAGGAGTGTTTGGGTGAGGGGATGCTGGGAGGCGCAGTCTGAGGTCGGGGAGGGTGGAATGTGAGATCCAAGTGGTTCTTGGGGTACAACATTGTCAAGGGAATGAGATG